ATAGAATGGGCATACGTTAATTATCATGATCTATGAAAAGGAGTAACTAGTAAGATTGAAACAGTTTAATTTATTTATTTGCTAAAGGTATTACAAACAGTGGCTTTCCTTGCCGGCCAGATTGTTTCTTTGCGGAATTAAGTTTCCTTTCTTCGTTTTATGGCTCCATTGCCATTGGTCCAGTACGTGATCTTGCAATTTACTAAGGGAATCAATGTTGWTTAGAGAAAGATCCGAAGCAAGCAGTAGCTAAAAAGACCAGTATTGTTGATTAAAAGCCATTCCTGTATCTGTATGTGCCCATGGTGTCCATCAAGTTTCTACTTTTAGATGTCTCTTTCTTAAAAGTAAATTTCTAAACTTTTCAAGAACAATATTCGACATATCACCTTTGGCACCTTAAAAACTAGCCGATGATCGGGTAGTTGCCGCGTGGTCCTGGTAACAAACTAAAAATAACCCTTGTCCTGAAAACAGAACGAAGGGCTGATATGATTGGTACTAGTGATTCCTTTTTTTCTTGGTTTCCATGACACTTTTAAGCTCCAGCCAATCATGTTACATCATGTAATAATCTTTTAGACTACCACTTGCGGTAGATGAAGGGTGCTGAAGATTTGTGATTTAAAAGGGAGAAAAGTTTTATTTCCAAATGGTTTGACATTTTAGAGCAACAGCAGGCTAAGTGGTGTGAGGTCCTGAGTGTCCCTAGCTCTCTTGTCAGAAAAAAGCTACTTTTTGTCCTACCAAACTTTGCGATGTTATAGCATACTGTATGTGGAATACTTTGAGTATTACAACAGTTCACTTAATTAAGCAGGTCTTTTTCCATTGTTGAAGTAAACAAAACAAAAAACACACTAACAGCCTCGATCTCAAATTGAGGGTAAAATTTCTTCCAATGACGAAATAGACTTTTCATCGTCCTCCTTGCATAAGAGGAGGCTGCTTCTCCGGCGAAGAATAGAAAAAGTACAACAATGGAATACACATGGTTATGAAGAAGATYACAAAACACAGTCGATCAAGAACTGTTGCTGCGAATTGCCATTCAAGAATACACTCGTCTTTCTCCCCTTCCTCGGCCACTCGGCTCGTCAGCACATCCAGRCCTTCGACTATTTTCCTTTGCAAGATATTGTTGATATTTTGTCGGGGTTTTGCCGACATTGATTTTCTCCTGTGATGGACYTTCGTGCGAGCATCRGTGGCCACACCCAAGGAGTTGATTGCGGGCTCACTGCGTGCCTTCGTTAGGGACGTTTGTCTCGGGGGAGGCGGCTGCAATTGATATGAATATTTTTGTAAGTAAGTATTGAACGTAATTCTGAATTCAGTTATACAATAGCAATATTCATTACGTTTAAAAGGACATGGTTTACAARCATACAATGCGGTCGTGTTTGAGATTTTTCATTGGAAAATGAGGTGAYTTCGAATATCCATTCGCAATCCSTTTCCATCCATCGGTTTAAAGRTCGAATCTTACARTATCTCCATTCATGATAGAATAAAGGGATAATAAAGAGTAAGTTTTTGCTTATATTACGATGTATTTTTATTTTTAAATATGAGCAAAAGCTCGAAAGGGATGCTGGTGGAYCATGTCCCTTTAATACAAAYATCAGTAAAACYTACCTTTGCAATTTGAACATTTCGTTTAGCAGTAGGYGTGTACTCCAGTAGWGACACTCTCTCSACATGGTTCACGTGGTTCTCTTCCGGCTGCACAACATACGACTGTGACGTCACTGGATTCTGCGCCATGAGCCAGCGACATGTTCTTTCAGCGGGCTGYTCAGCAGCAAGACATTGATAAATCCCTTTATCTTTGGGTTTAGTGGTTATGAAGAAGAACAGCATCGATGCGATCCATTCATTGATGACAATACGAAGCTTTTCGGGCATTCGCACATGACCAAAGTAGTAAAACCGCAGGACAATAGTAGTGACGACGATAGCTGAGCATAGTTCAATCATAATCAAAAARTARAAATACCCTAATAAGGGAATRTTATCTGACGTTGCCGGAAGTGTGTTGGATGCAATGTTTARRAAYACWGTCATMGATAACATCACAGTKATGTTGAGAGCTATTCGCTCGCCTGACTCKGGTGGAAGACAAAACCCTACCAACGCAAAAACCACAATCATCATCGAWGGAATGATTAARTTRAACACGTAGTATTCCACTTTTCTTTTGATGTGGATTGTGTATGTTATGTCCGAGTAGGTATCCTCGCAGCATGGATACTGAACTTTGTTTTCTTTGACAGGAACATTGACTATTTCCCATTCGCCATTCTGCATGTACGAAGACATGTCAGCCTGTACTTGTGAAGTCTTCATATCCATGTGCTTGGTACTGAACGTCCATGAACTAGCATAAAATAAAAACAACAATTACAGTCAACTCTTGCTATTACGGACACCCCATTATTACGGACAACCCGTTATTACGGACTCCTCGCAATTGCGGATACCCTCGCTATTACGGACATACCGATATCACGGACTCCTCGCTATTGCGGACACCCCGCTATTACGGACTTCTAGATATTACGGACAAGAAATACTGATTGCCCGGCGAAAAATACAAAGAAGTGACTGACAATAACTCCCGTTACTACGGACTCTTGCTACTGCGGACACTAAATTACGAGGGTGTCCGTAATAGCGAGAGTTGACTGTATACAGAATGGGAACTGAGGAAAAGAACCAAAGTACAAGTAACAGGACTCGAACCCGTGACCTTCGGGACACCGGCTAGAGCACAGACTTCTCTAGGCACAGACTTTTGAAAACAGGACAAAGTTTAAGTATCGATTCAAAAAGGCAAACAAAAAATAAGAAGATCGAAGGAAAGTTATATTTACTTATAAACTCACCCGAATGTCATGTAGCAATATTGTTCGTCAAATGGAAAGTACCGAATGTTGAGTTTACAGGAAGCCAGGAACTGAGTGGCAGCGTACCATTTAACMGTRCCAGTATTGTCAATCACAACTTTAGTTTTGTACTTCTCCATTCCTCCTGAGAAACTACTCGCCGCGCTGTAGAACAAGACAAATACACCACTATGTACCATACTTGAGCATATGTGAATTCTCGCGTACTGATTGGGTTGGTGTTTGATACTAAGAGGACATTCACACTGTGCTGACAACATCAGGTTTCGCGCACGCTCTGAATAGTCTCCTTCACGGTTCCCTGCGCCATGTTGAAAGGTAGCCGTGTCTTTACATCGAAAGCGAGACAACCGTTGAGCGTGCAATGATAGATATCTGTGAATAATTGTCTGAAGGTGTGAAAGAAGGTTTCTATTATTGCACGCTCAACGGTTGTCTCGCTTAGATGAAAAGGCACGGCTACCTTTCAAGATGGCGCAGGTAACCGTGAAGGAGATTATTGAACGGAAAGAATGATTTTCTCTCAATTTTGGACTAAAAATGTGGTGAAAAAAACCCGTAGACAGCTCTATCAGAGGACAYAAATTTTTTTCACATTTTCTAAGGAGCAAATGAAAACGAATGTCTGAAAATATTATTTGGGGGCAACATCTTGCTCCGCGGTCCCTGATTATGTGACTTCCTTTAGTTTGAATTGTCTAATCTACACTATATTTCTCTATTTAGCACTGTTTGGTAAGTACTTTTTCAAACAGCCCTCTTGGATGTTTAAGCCAGGCAAGGGAGTCCTAGTCTCTAAGGGTGAGTAGTGAGGACTTACTTGTTGTATAGGATAACAATTGGCAACCAAATATTACTCGGCTCCACGTTGATCGTATCGATGCCGTCATATTTCTTAGGATCCCACATTAAGAATGGATCTTTCCATTGCTGTAGGGATAATAGAACAACATTTAATCACTTTATACTCTGTGCATACTCCCCCCCCCTCTCCTACTCACAGACTTCTCCCCGTAGGCGGAGGGGTTGGAACGGATGTACAGAGGCTATTTTCACGCATAAGAGCCAATCTAGAACGTTTTCAGTAAGTTGTCGATACTGCTAATAAATGAACGCAGTTACTAATCCATGTGGGACTTGTGGRAAATCCTTTTGAGAGCATGCGCAGTCGATATAACTTTTTAACTAAGTTATTTATATTTCTCAACAATATATGGTTATGATAATAATGAATAATAATAATAAACTCTATTTAATGATGGTAAACCAGTTTAGTCATAGACAAATCTACCACTAGGRCATCATGGTGGATATGGTTAGTCTGGTGCAATTAGAGTAACCATCCTTGAGGTCTTAGTACATTTTGCGTAAAATAGCTAAGGCCTCGTTCTAACTTGAATTAAGTTTTGAGTTTGTCGTTTCATGCAATGGTTCCTTCATTGTTTATTAAAATTATTTACCTGTGTCGTCCAGACGTTTACACGAAGTGATTCYTCTTTTTCTGACTGAAAACGGAAAYAGATAACATGAACTGATTGTCAACCAACCAATCAGAGAACCGGTTRACCCTTCAATCAATCGAATGTTTGGCAACCAGCCAACCAGAGATCCGATTGACTCTTCAATCAACAGTAGAGTGCTAGTCACCCAGGCAATCAGAGATCCGATTGACTCTTCAATCATATGACGATAGCCAGCCTGGTAATCAGGTGTATATACAACTGACCAATAGTCAGCCCTTCAAACAGAATCCCCCACCCCACCCCACCCTCTTCCCCCCACAAGCTTAAAAGGTCCGGTACTTCTCTTTTTCATTGTTCTATTTTCAAATTCTTTTCTTATGAACTRTTTTTGAGATAGTAATTTGTAATGAGCTGCTCATACTAGCAGCCAGTTCTTACTCACTATACTGTGCATTGAACATTTAATTTAGGTCCGCATTATGCATGAAAAAATCCCCCCCTCCCCCCACATTAGTAAGGCAGCCAACGGGCCTGTTTGATGTATTGGCTAAGTTGTAAATACTTACGATATCCACTATTTGTACCAGCTTCAGCTGGAAAAACACTTGTAACTGGTCCTCGTGACTTTTGACCGGTCGGACCTCGCGGTCGTACATGGAGTCGTAGATAATGTCTTGCAATAAACGTTGTTCAGTTGAAAGTGCCACTTTACCATCTGGTCCTACTGGAGGCCCTACCACAAATGTCATGATAAAAAAATATATTTATTTATTATTTAAGACCATTAGATTTCTAATATTAAGAATTAAGACCACGAGTTGGACTACGACATAAATAGCCTGCTTGGCGGCTCTAGGGGAGGGGGGAGGGGGAAAACGGAAGGGGAGGGGGTGGGGAGGCGGAAGGCTACGACATAAACGAGTTGACATTAAAATCAACAGAGTCGGGGTTGTGCTCTTCTTAGGTACTGCAAATATCTATCAGAAGGGGACTGAGAATCCAGGGGGAGGGCAAATCTAATTTTATGTGCTTAAAGAGGGGACAACGTTTAAAATTAACTAGAACTTTAATAGTCTCCTTCACGGTTCCCTGCGTCATCTTGAAAGGTAGCCGTGCCTTTACATCGAAGCGGGAGCACCGTTGAGCGTGCAAGGATAGATACCTCTGAATAATTGTCTGTATGTGGTGAAAGAAGGTTTCTATCATTGCACGCTCAACGGTCGTCTCGCTTTGATGCTAAGGCACGGCTATCTTTCAACATGGCGCAGGGAACCGTGAAGAAGAATATTGGAAACTGAAAGCTCAGAGATTCTTTGCTTTTTTGGAAAATAAATGATAAATATTGCGCAGTCCCTTAGTAATGAAACGTAGAACGTGAGAAACCTTCAAATGACGCGCTTGCAAAGGCGGAAACTTCATAACGCATGCGTTGACAAAGAGCCGCTCGCAAAATCAGTGTCAGTAACATTGCTTAAAACACTCAGAAGGCAAACATGTGAAATCCGAACACATGAGATACCGCAACGAGCTTTGTTAACGAAGGGTAGTTCAAGAATTTTATTTTACCTGGCTTGGTCGGAGGAACTGCAGGTTCCATGGTGGGCATGGGGCTGTTCGTGGTTGTCAAGGGAACGTCTAAACCAATCAAATGGTACTTAGTATTGAAATATGTAAAAGTTAGACGTGATTCATCATAGCTATATACACGCATCTGGAGTTTCAGAGAACAATGTGTCCGCCATCTTGAAAAGTGAGCCCTGATTCACTGTTTTGCCTTAGAACAAATTTCATAGTTGCTTAGTCTATCATCATAACGTATATTATATTAGATTTACATTAACTTAGAACCTTTTAATTTCTTTAGGAGTTATAATTTAGTGATTTGAGTGTCACTTTTCAAGATGGCGGATGCATTGTTCTCCGAAACTCCTGATGCATGTATAGTACTGACCTTTCCACCCTATGTCAACCAGAATTGAGCGGAGGTCTTGWGCGAATGGAAGTGAGGAGGATTCACAGGAGTTAACATCATAACAGTTGATGGAGTAACAGAAACTGTTCAGTAAATAAGCGACGTCTCCATCTCCTTTGTCGCAAATTTTACGAATACATTCCTGTATGCTTGCCACTTTTCCAATTCGATGATATGAGCCCGCACCTACACCTTTGGTCAGCGTGACATTGTGCTTGGCAACGCCTGGAACACAAACGCGTTCCATTTCTAGGAAANNNNCAAGTTGCAAAGCGAAACTTGCGCGCAAAGTTGATCCGATAGTATATTACACTGTGCGACTTAATAACAGAGGCGCGCATAGCATAATGGTGCAAACTGGGCCTTTAAGTTATTTGGAGTTTTGAACTCCAAAGCAACAAGTTGCAAAGCGAAACTTGCGCGCAAAGTTGATCCGATAGTATATTACACTGTGCGACTTAATAACAGAGGCGCGCATAGCATAATGGTGCAAACTGGGCCTTTAAGTTATTTGGAGTTTTGAACTCCAAAGCAACAAGTTGCAAAGCGAAACTTGCGCGCAAAGTTGATCCGATAGTATATTACACTGTGTGACTTGAGAAAAACCTATTTTAAGTTTTTATGGTGAGCGGAGTTGATTGAAAGATTTTCTTCTCTTACCTTGAGCTTGTACAGAAGTAAAGCAAGCGCATAAAAGTGCAGCCGCGATAAGCAATACCCTTTTCATTTTTGTGATCTACAAATCAAAAATACATTAGTATTTAATAACAGTTCTTGTTAAAAAATTGTTGTTCACTTTGGTCAACATTCAAGACGTAAGACACAAAATTAACAATGCAATATATTAACCGATATTTATTATATATATTTATTATATATTTTATTAATTATCGATAAAGTAACCTCAAGGGACGTCCAAACCGCGACATTAGCACAGGAAGGGAATTTTTACGTGTTAGCCAGGGAAGTATAATCAGAAACAGAAACATAAGAAAACTTTTTCAAGTTTAAATTAGTGTTTCACGGTTTTTATTATTAAGCCTCTATTTCATACTTTAGCTACTTACTAGCGTGAAACGGTTATAAGGTGTCAGAAAGTCAGAAGTTAAAAAACCCCTCTGAAATTTAAATTAAACTAATACAATTTCTYAAAATTAAAATTGCATTGYTTTCTTTTGTGTCAATATTCTGATTAACTTAAAAAATGTAGTTCTGTAATATTCAAAGAAGTCCAATATACAATAAAAGGAATTAATCAATGGAAACAATGGAATTAGCGACTGCACTGAGGTGTATTATTTTAATATTGTGGACTTGTATTGATATACTACCAAAGCAGACCAGAAATGTTTCATTTACCATAAAAGTATGTTTACTACGCTATATCTGTACTGCAAAAATCATCAAATCTTAATGACTACTTCTTGTCGCATTTTTTGAGTAGAAGCATCATATATTTGGCGCAAAACAGGTAGCCCAAATAGTCCGCTTATAAACATCTCTTTTCATTTATATATCGAGGTCGATTTTTGTGTATTATATAGATCGCTATTTTATATGATATAGTAGTGGCAGTTAAATCCTTATAAGCTGTGAAAATCCATGTTTATACGCCTTCAAAAACATAAATATAAAGAAATCCTTCGCCGTTTTTCACAAATCATTGACAACGATATAACAAAATATCACAGTTGAGAACTTAATTGCACGAAATGCTAACGTTCTACATTCTACAGCTACTCCACTACAAAAAATATATATACTGAAATTTACTGTCTATTAATATTAAATATTTCAAGTTAGCTAAAAACGTTTCCTTATCAGATGAATAATATTTGGAATGGAAGCAAAAACTATACAAGTTTATCACAAATCAAATCCATGATAGACTTACCGGTTTTTGAAGATGTCAAAAAGTTGAACTATGTCATTCTAAATCATCCAGTACTAATTGGACCAGCGAATAAACTTGGGATCGACCGAGTTACAGCGTCTACCAATCTGTACAAAACAGAGAAATAAAATATTTAGACTTATCTTAACCAGCAATCGCCGTACCTGCTCCGAAGCCTTGTCGTATTGGCTAAGCAATCAAAATATCTCTTCATATTTTTTCCTGACTGTTTTAAATGTATTTTCATTTTACAAAATATAGAGATAAAAGCAAAGCTAATTGGAGTACATAGTTAAAAGTCCTATATCTAGTAATTTGAAGTGATGTTAAAATGGTAAAGGATGGACTATAGATTTTATACCTTGTAAGCTAGTTTACGATTTTCAGTCACACTTTATGTGGTTTCTAGCCTTTGGCGATAGTTTCAACCACAGAATTGCAAAGATATGATATGTAAACACGATAATAATTTCAATTATTCACASAGAAACTATGAAATGGAAAGCCATTATATTCACAGACACCTCCTTATTACGGACCACACTTCTATATTACGGTCACATCTGAGATACGGATATCTCAATTGCGGACACCTCGATCTATATAACGGGAATCTTAAAGCCGCGTCTACACGAGCAATTTTTCGCTTACGCAGAAGACGCGACTTTCGGGTACGATGAAAGCTGAACATCGAATTTGAGCGTTTTTGTACATATAACTACTCCTTATGGAGATTAAAATAAGTATTTGTGAGGATTTTTTTTATCGATACAGCATTGTCGCTCGAGTAGCCACATCGTGCGCTGGTGATTTTGAGAAAATCGCGTCGCCTGCGCAAGCGAAAAATCGCTCGTGTAGCAGCGGTTTTATAGTACGAGCACCTCTGCACTATATAACGGCCTGGACACCTCCAAATTACTGTCAGCTTAATATTTCGGACATCCCTGAATTCTAAACACCACGGCGATCAAACCTTCTTGTGCCTTTTTATTTAACGCTTCTTAAAGTTAATTTGCTCTAATTCGTTTTTTTTTATTGATTTGGTCTGTTTTTCGTGAGTAGTGAAGCTCAAGATACTAAGAGGTTCCAGATTCGACGGTTGCGACTACAAACATCCCCAGCCTCCTACACACAGGAGTCCCCTTATCCTCCCACTCTCGCCTCCTCAATGTGGTATATACAAGCAAGAAGTGCTTAATTATGCAAATAAGCAAGTAATTCGATTGTTAAATAAAATAAATAAACAAACAAACAAGCCACATTGACATTGTAAAACAACACGTTGAAATGAYTAAAGAAATTGAAATACAAAAGTGGCGGGAAAAAAATAGACGCGGCCTCCATATTGTACATACATGTTGTATAAAACGTTTCTTTTCGGAAGAAAATTTGAAAAGCAAGTTCTAGATTCTATTGTGGAATTTTTTTTATATGTATTTAATCTATACACATCAAAATTGTTCGAAGTGTATAGCTGCAAACAAAGAATTAATATAAATAGTTGTAAAATATRAACTCAAAAACTATTTTTCAAGAACAGTTTACAACTAAACCTTTTAAAAATCATTTACTAGGAAAACTAGTCGTCAATTTTACTGTGAATAAATTGTTTAATTAAACTATAAACCAGATAAATACAAGCCAATGCTAGGCGTCGTGGTTTTGCATGTCGCTTGGAGACAATACCTGCCGTTTTGTCACCACAGGACAAAGCAAAACAAATCTTGAATATACATAGACACCGCTGTTGCACAGAGCAAAGAACGACMTTCCCTGGAGAGCTCGTAGCTTCTATGACAAAAAACCTGTGGCGTTAAACATTCTACCAGAGCTGAATATTTCTCCCAAAGCTAAATTACTGCATTTGGAAAGCGATTCCATCAGCTYTGAAACGTTCTTTAATCAAAAGAAATAGCAACAGGGTGCTCGTTGCAGAAGTCAAAAGCATACAGCTACACTGCTTCACTTACTTGTGTTGTCAAGTGACTTATCGAAAAGAGTTCAATAATATAGAAAGATAATTGTGGGAATGGAATTRGAAAAGCCTAAATTGGGCCTAATTGGTTGTAGTAGCTACTCAACCAGAATGCAAGAACTYAAATCTCAACTCAGAGAAATGACTGAGGATTTACAAAGYWTACGCGAAGGATATGACATGATAAAGGATAGAGTTGATGTTTTAAACGACAACTGCAGACGAATTCCTACAAGAAGGACAAGAAATCTGAGGAATTCAGCATGAAGATTGAAGAAAGATAATTTGAGAAAGAAAAAATCCCMAAATCCAGTTAGTTAGAAATATAGATTTCTACAAAAATCTTACATATAGATATATAATTACCTTAGAGATCTATGTAATTTTTCATCTAAAAAATTTACATCTTCAGTTCCCCAAAAMCCGCAATTGAAAATTTCTATTTTTTTCAATTTTAAAATCACTTTTGATATCAATGCAATGACGATAATTGTCAAATTCGAAAACCTTTGAATTTATAATCAGGTGCACATTTCTCGAGGCATTTTTTCAGTGAAATATTATATATTTTTGACCAGAATAATTTCATGTTTTCCATACATACACACCAATGTTTTTTATTCATGCTCATTTGCGATTGACGCAGATGTTTTCATGTACACCTGCATCTTGTTCTTAGACMTCATCTTTGGTTGTAGACATACCTATCCTGCGCTATACATTCAAGATYATATATAAGCTCTTACCTTGGAAAGTAGATTTGACAAACGGCTTTATTCAGCTGAAACTACAAAACATACATTATTTAACGTTTTAATTGCATTATTATRCGATGGAATCGTTTTGTATACTCACCTAAAATAATTAGGATATCATTAAAAAGARTTTGTTCTTTGAAGTGCTAATAGTCGATAATAGTGTCAATATTGGTCGAGGAAATGTGGWGGATAGCAAGCGGGAAAAAATTCTGTGATTTCATACTACCATGCCTGCTAAAAATACTATAGTATATACTACCCCAGAAAACACCAGATATACACCCTTTACTGAAACTATACCACTACAACTAACACAATACAACCCACTACCGCAACGACAACAACCCTCTACTGGTACAACTACCGCTAATCACTACTCCGCCATTGCTATATACCGTCACGGCTATGTTGCGGCTAGTTAGTTACACTACGAGCTTTTCTGCTACAACTACCGCTTACCAGTACCATCACTACTAACTCTCCGCCATCGCTACATGGCGTCACACGGCTATGCTACAGCTAGTTGCAAACTACCACTACGAACTTTTCCGCTACAACTACCGCTATCACTACCACTATACTCGCCATCGCCACCACTATTGTTCAGCAGCCGTTGCTGTTGCCGCTAGTGACTGACTGCAGCAGTAGACAATTTAGATTTCAAACTGTTAGTACGAATTGGTGTTTGACATGAATTTTATTCTATATTCTATTATTTCGTGCAATGTCCAAGAATGCATGTAAACTTGATTAAAAAAACGCCTGCCATAAAAGCTTTTTATATATATTGCAATGCTATCGCCGTTACTGTTGTTTTTGCTGATTTAACTCTTGCCGGCCTTACTTCCTTTCAGATCAGAAATATCTGATGACCTCAGTTTCCATGAGAAATTGTCATCACTCATTTTTGCATTATTGTTGACGTCATCCTAGTTTGATGACGTCATTATTGCTGAAGCATTTCTATTTCGTCATTAATGATGTCATCAASCCTGGCAATGTACAAACCGCCTTCTAATGAAACAACTGCAAGTAAGCTTTCACTTGTGATTCCATTGCCAGAAAATGCACAACAGAAAAGTTGAGCACGTGGATCGAGGTGTGAGTCAAAGTTTACGAACTTCTTCAGTTCGCAGCCTGATATTGGATCCCAGATTCTGTAAAATGAAGGAATGAATAGAAATGTGAAATTAAAAAGCGTATTGTATGAGTGGATAGATGTAGACATGAAAGGCAGAATTGTTGCTGGGATTTGCGAATGCATGAATAAGAGATTAGAGATAAAAGGGAATTATGAATGGATGGAAGGAAGGATGGCGGGATAATTGAATGAATCAGTGGATTTATGGATAAATAAATAAATAAAACTGGAAAAAGCAAAATCATAAAATGGTATCGCATGCACTGTGACCCTTTGCAATGAACTCTCCCGTGTACAATACATACGTAAACTAAAGGCTTACTAAAAACCGTTGTCTACCTTTCTTCATTAAAAATGAAATTAAGCAAACAGAGMAGTGGTTACCTTAATGACCTATCACTAGAGCAGGTTGCCAACAACACGTGTCCGTTGTGCAAGCCAAAAGCACACTTCCATATAGCATTACAATGTCCATACATGACGTGTAGTTTCTCTGCTTCTACTGTATCCCATACTATTATCGTTAAATCTGAAGAACAAGACACTAACATATCGTCATTCACAGGGGAAAAGGCGCAAGAATTTACACGAGCCTTGTGGCCACTTAGAATAATTGGAGCTGAGTTTTCCGCTGTTTGGTAGTTCCTCCAGAGRAAGACATCTTTGTCGCGAGAGCATGAAGCAAGCGTGGAGCCGTCGTCAGGAGAAAAAGTGATRTCTTCYACGATATTTCGATGTCCTTCGATGATTTGAATAAYRCTATCTTGAARGAAATCCCAGATTACAATTTCRTAGTTGTTTTCTGATGAGCAAGAAGCYACTGTAGTTGGAAAACYGGGGCAAAACCTACAKACCCATAGAGTAGCTGAATGCAATTTCTTTTTGAGTTCTCTCTCTTTAGTTAGATCCCAAACACGTACAGTTTTGTCGCTTGAACATGAGCAGAGCAACGAAGAATCAATATTAAAATCGCAGTCCCAAATCACTCCTTCATGGCCTTGAAAAGTTTTCAGAAGCGACAACTCTTCATTAACTTTCCAAACTTTTAAAGTCTCATCCCCAGAGCTGGTAGCTAGAAGACTACCATCGTTTGAAAAACAGCAGCTCTCTATGAAGTCGGTGTGAGCTTGTATTCGCTTGAATTTTTTCTCTTGGCGGTCTGAAAAGTCGAACAAGAAACTACATGAAAAATCGAAAGACGTCGAAGAGTTTCGTCTCATTTTTTCTGATTATGACGTCAAAATGCGCGCTCCTTATTCAACCAATCAAATCAAAGCAAATTKACCAATCAGAACGCAGGAAAGTTTTTACCGCTGATCACTCAGATCGCGTTCTCAATCAAAATGACCTCCAGTCGACTAAAAATATTCCATTTTTCGCCAAGAAAACMCATTGTATGTGAGGCCTAAATGCAACCGGGCTGTTTTCGTTGCTTTGACAGTTTATGGATGGGTCTGAGGAAGTCTAAACCACGTAGAAATAAAGATCAGTACGGGGATGAAGGTCTTATAGATGTGATCGCCAGCCATCAGGTTTCTGAACACGAACCGGTTCACAAGGACGCCGTAACYTGTGTTGCTGCTTATTCTGATGGATTTTGTTTATCTGGCAGTGCTGACAGGGTGAGTCTGTTACAGGTGTATTAGTGCTTTATCTATATGGCTAATTTTCTWAACTRCTTCCTTGGTTGCYACAAGGCGAGACGTTTTGTTCTGTCGTACAACGTTTGCTACAACTTCAGTTTAGTTTTACATTGCTTTGAAAAAGGTCAAGTGGCACGTTAACGTAAACATTGGCGAAGACTATGTTGATTTTATCCAAAGCGAAAGTAATTACTAGAMTTGTTTCAGCTATCCTTTTCATTGCAAATAAGCGCGCTGTAAAAGCGCAACATTTATGATTAAAATATAGTGTACCACGATGTTTCCATGTCAACAATGCATGTACAATGACTCCTCCTTTTTACACTAAATATTTACAAAAATTGTTGATACTCCCTGCTACGTCGTATAAGAAACATTATTAAAATAGACAGATTAATTTTTCGTCTTCACTATTTGAATAATATTGTAAAAAAACTGTAATTTACATTTTAGAATTTTTAAATTTATTTTAACATCATACAGGTGAGCCATGTCTAATACACGAGGGTCCACAATAACATCCTCTTATTTAGAAAGATAATTTTTTTAAGCAAGTTTCCTTAAAAAATTGACTACTCCTCTTGCAGTAATTTAATTCAATTTCAGTAAAAATGCTATAGACTTCGTTGCAGCTGTTTATGATGTAATGTGGCTAGTCCGACTAGTCCTCCCTCACAAACATTATGGGGGAAGATTAATGAGGCAATGCTGGAAATAGATGTTAGGTGTCTATAAACTAAAATGACTACMCTGTTTTTAAAACTCACTATTATAGTTAAAATAGCTGTTATTTTGTTTGAATCTAGACAGTTGCCTTGTTCAACCTAAGATCAGGTATAGTGACACAAAGATGGATAGGGCAYGACAAAGAAATTACCAAGGTGAAAAAACTAATATATCTATGACTGGATGAATTGTTTGTAGTCTTG